CACACACACACACACACACACACACACACACACACACACACACACACACACACACACACACAACCTCGTAGCGAAACAGACGTCATTCTTCTACCAGTGTGGACACTGCTGGTATCTTGACTCTTCCACACACCGTTCGCTTTGTCCTCCTCCATTCTTCTCTCTGTCTCTTTGTCGCTCTGTTTTAGATTCTTATCTTCTCTGTTAGTGTTGCTTTCTCTCTTTCCGTGGAGATACAGCTAATTATTTGCGTACGCTGCTGAGTAGTGCTTGATGTTTCGTGTTCGACGAGGAAAAGACGAGTCGTTGAAGTTGGAGTTGTCCCGCACCCACCTCCTTTCGAAAGGTGTGACATGTGTGACTGTAGATGTGACGAAACTTGTAGGCTCGTTCTAAGAGGTGTCTAGTGTGCGAGATACTGCACCTGCGTAGGAAACACAAGCTGAGCGGCGTCAGAGGGTATGATTCGACGTGCGACGCTCCTGACGTCGGCCAGGGCGACAGTCTGACGGACTTCACGATTGGTAGTTCGACGAGTGAGGCAGAGCGTGACCGTCACAGAGCGCTGGCTCATTCTTAACGGCGTAAGGTGTGTGACATACTGTTCCTGCTTTTGAAACACAAGCTGAGCGGCATCAGAGGGTATGATTCGACGTGTGACGCTCGTGACGTCGCGCAGAGCGACGGTGTGAGGGGCTTCACGATTGTTAGCTCGACGAGCGCGGCCAACCGTGGCCGTGACAGCCGTCAAGATTGTGAGCTCCTTCCAGTCAGTGACGAAGGGCGGGGGAGGGGGGAGAAGGGGGAGGATAGCAGAGGAATTCACAGCAGAGGCGATTGATACCGAGGGAGAGGCTGAGCGGCGGGGGCAAGAGGGGGAGGAGGAGGAGGAGGAGGAGGAGGAGGAGGAGGAGGAGGAGGAGGGAGAGGAGGGACAGGAGGTAGCCTCCGAGGCGGAGGGAGACATGGTGCAGATCCAGCTGTTTAGCTGGATGGCGGGCCTGTTCTCCTTGGGTTTGCCCTCTGGCAATGCCTTCACGCCTGTGGAGTCGTTGTTCGGAGGGGCATTCGTGGGTGTGGCCGTGTACGTCATGCTGGCTTATTGTGGGAGGGAGGCGGCCATTAGCCCCACCATCTCCAATCTGATGTCGTTCCAAGAGATCCGCTGGAGAGGGTTGTTTTTTATGGGCACCCTCAGCGCCGCGCTGGCATTCAACCAAGCGAGCTTGATCAGCATGGGCCGATCGAGCCCCAACTACTTGATGTACGGACTTGCAGGCGCGGCAGTGGGTCTGGGGAGCGAATTCATGGGAGGAGGAGTCGGTAGGCATCTGTTCTACGGCCTGCCCAGACGTTCCGTTCGGTCTGTCGTCGCGGTGCTTGTGCTCGCCGTCACCGCGGTCTTGACTTCGACCTTCCTGGTAAAGCGCCCCAGCAGGTCCGGACCCTTCCTGACCCAACTGCCACCCAACTCCGTCCTCATCACGCTGGACACCATAGCCGGGGTCTTCCTGCTGACCTTCCTCGCCATCCGTCTCCTCTACAAGAAGTTATTCATCGCTCGTTACACGGGGTTCTATCTGACAGCCTTCTTCGCCGGAGTCGTCTTCGGAGCTGGCATTTGCATCTCAGGCCTCGCTCGGCAGTACAAGCTGAGCGCGTTCCTCGACCCAGGTGGCAGTTGGGATCCCTCTCCTCTCGTAGCCATCGGTGGCTGCGTGATTCCTAACATGCTGCTGTACCACAACTACCTGCAGGACCTCAGCCATCCTCTCTTCGCGGACAGGTTCATAACGGAAGCCAACGGCGCCGTTGATTTCTTGTTGATTGTGGGAGCGATCCTCTTCGGGGTAGGGATGGGCTTCTCCAGCCTGACTCCAGGCACTGCACTCGTCGGGCTAGTCACGCTAGAGGCCAACGTGCTGGTTTTCGTACTCTGCATGATGGTTTGCCTCACAGCTGGCCGCCTGTTCGTTCACTGGAGGAGGAAGGCCAAAATCGCACGTGCCAAAGCCGCTAAATCCTAATCCCCCCCTCCACCCTCCCCGACTCCCCCCCTCCCCCCCCCACCGGCGCCCGAACAAGAAAAAATACTAAGTAAAAATCGCTACCAATGATTACCACTGGAAAAGGAGTGGGGACGGTGTGTGTTCGAAGTTAAAGAGAGAAGTGAGTGTGGAATCTTAACAAAATTGCGACTCTCTCCACTTGCATGCGCTCGCTCCCGTCATTCTTTCCGCTTCCTTGGGTCCATCCTATTCCAGGTAATCAGAGAAGTACACTCCTCCCACGAGTAGACCTCAAGACTGCGTGCCGAGACTGCTTCAGTCTTCCCCCGATCACAAACGCACCCCCGTCATCATGAATGAATGTGTACGTGCTGCCTTTCCCCGATCCCAGACAGTCAGAATGGGAGTGGTCACACCTATCTCGGCCTTTTGGCTAAGTAAGATCAAGTGTAGTATCTGTTCTGATCATCAGTCTAATAGTATCTGATCCGAGTTCCATCGGGCCAGATGAACAAAAAAAAAAAAAGAGAAAAAAGAATATGAGTGGTCATGCTACTTGTATGTTGTGAGTTCTGCTTCCAGACAAGATGACGCCTTACGGTTATTGGAGAGAGGAGAGAGGTTTTGAAGGTATTAATTAGTATATATCACCTGGCATTGCTCCGATTTGCTTTGAACAGCGAAGTTGAAGATCTATGCATGCATGAGATTAACCATTCGACACGCGTACGTACGTGACCCGCACCTTCGACATCTTTTTTTTTGTTTTGTTTTTTTTTAGTCGCAGGTTCGACGCGGGACTCGGAGAAGGAGAAGGAGAAGGAGAAGGAGAAGGAGATAGATTGTCATCGTCCTCACCGTCGTCGTATCGCCTCTGTACACGTGCGCCATACTACGAGCTTCGCATGTGGCATGTCCTGAGTGACAGCCAAAAGAGACTGCCTTCATCATCATCATCATCATCATCATCATCATCATCATCATCATGAATCACAATCGTCATCATCATCATCATCATAAGCAGCATCATCAGCATCATCAGCATCATCATTTCCATTGCTGTCCTACTTTACGCTCCTGATCGCCCACAATGATACGGTGATGGCATTTTAACGCACGTGCTACGCATGTTGCTGCACGTCGTGCGCATGTAATCACGAGATTGTTGTCGCCCCTCTCATCATCACCATCATCACCATCATCACCATCATCATCATCATCATCATCATCATCATCATCATCATCTTCATCATCCTCATCATGGTCACATCATTATTCAAGTTCATTTTGCAAGAATAATCAATCAGGAGACCATTGTCACCGCTGTCGTGATCATCATCATCAGTATCGCACCCTGATCATCATTACTTGTCAATATCATTGACGTCATCATAGTAGCAAGCGCAAGAAGGATTGGGAGTTCGACGCATGTGCTTCGTATGTTGCACGTGTTCGTCGGCGTCATCCGCATTGTCCGTCGCGCTTTTTTTTTTTTTTTTTCAATGATAAGTAAGCCGCGGCTCATCGTCATCAGTCTCGTGTGTGTACTGGCCTCACCTCGTTTTTTCCTTTCTTTTATTCTTCTCTCTTTTAAAGTTTAAAGCCAGTCACTGCAGCGACCACGGCTGAAGTACGTGCTTCGTATGGTGCACGTTGCTGGCCGACGTAAATCGAATCTCCTCCTCCTCCTCCTCCTCCTCCTCCTCCTTCCCCTCATCGTCATCATCATCATCATCATCATCATCATCATCATCATCGTGATGACGTGAATGTATTATGACTTCAATTCAATTGTACATCGACGTGGTTGCGTTGTACGTAGATTCACCCTGTAACCTTTCTTTTCTGTTGGGTAATTATTATTCATCAACGACATGCCAAACGAGCTAAGTGCCTTGCATGAATGATTGATGTCAAGGACGACTTCTCGATTAGAACGCAGCCAGACTGAGAGAGAAATGAAGGTGGTCGCGCATTTCACGATCACGCACGCGGAAAGGCACTCATGTGCTGCTTTTTCCTTTTCGGAACCACTGCTGTAAGAGCAGACATTTTTTTAACAAAGGTTATTTATCCAAGCCTCACAGAGCACTCTGCGGCCACCTTCTTTCTGTTGGCCACTGGGTCCAGCATTCTAGCCTCTGTCCCACAAACGTACTCATTCCAACGAAGGCATCCGGCATGTCACCATGCATGCATGCACCCATGCATCCACGCATGCATGCACCCATGCACTCATGCATCCACGCATGCATGCATCACGCACCCATGCATCGACGCATGCATGCACCCATGCACCCATGCATCCATGCATGCATGCATGCGTGCACCCATGCATCCACGCATGCATGCACCCATGCATCCACGCATGCTTGCATGCATGCACGCATGCATGCATGAGGTCCCTCCACTGTCCTTTGTCTTCATCCCACGTGCTGGAACGCTATATGCAACTGTCCACGTGGCAGTAGTCCACGTTGCATGCAGACCTCGACAGCTGACGTTATCCAGTTTCCTCACGGCGCGTGACTAGGTAGGTGGCAGCTCTGAGATGAAGATTCCCATCCCGATCCCAACTTGGAATTCTTTTCTTTTCCACCCAGAAGTTGCTAACTTGATGTTTTCACGGGAGGGAAAGGGAGATGAGGATTGCCATCCCGATCCCAACTTGCATTTTCATGTCTCTCGACTGAGGGCACATCACACTCGGAACTTTTCCACTTCTCTGTGGATGTACTTGCGGTCATCCAGGCGCGTTGGAAAAGCGGTCGTATGCAACCAGGAAACTTAAGCCCTGATGTGATATAAATGCCCTGGGTCCCGGAGATGGGACCATACAGAACACAGTGTATGGACTGCGAGAAGGGACGGAATCACTCAGGATTGGGCAATGGAGCCACTCACTCAGGAGTGGAGGCAAGTGCAATGGTGGACTCAAGGTAATGGTTGGGATGGTTGGGAAAAATGGTTCCATTCCCTCGCTGGAAACGGTTCCACTTGGTTCCATTCCCGAAGCTGGAACCATATTAAACTGGGACTGCAGGATGGGACGGAACCACTCAGGATGGGGGGCAATGGAACCACTCCGAAGTGGACTGGAGTGAAGTGAAATGGTGGATTCAAGGCAATGGTTGGGAATGGTTCCATTTGGTTCCATTCCGAAGCTGGAACCACTAAACACTGGGACTCCGAGATGGAACCGACCGACTCAAGATGGGGACCGAACCATCGGAACCGAGCCGCTCAAGTTCGTAATGGTACACTCAGGGGGTCCGCTTCGAGGACGGAACCATTCCCTTGAGTGCAGCAAACCATGAGTGCAGCATTTTAATCCCTAAACGGTAAATGGAATTGGGACTGTAGAATTGGCGCTAGGGTTGGAAGAAGGATAGATCGGCAGCTCTCGACTAATGGGCAATCAAGACTTGAATGGGGACGGCGACGGGACCCATGGTTAAAGCATATCCAACCCATGGAGGAGAAGGAGGGAATGATTGTGTGTGTGGGGGGGGGAGGGCAGGAGATGGCTGGACAGCTGCCGTTTCATGGAGTCGGACGTCGGGGGATCGAAACGTTGCGCCACGATGGAAGAAGGATAGATCGGCACCTCTCGACGAATGGGCAATCAAAGGGTGATGGGGAAGGGACTCATGGTTGATGCATATCCAACCCATGGAGGGCGGGGCAGGAGATTGATGGACCGCTGCCGTTTCATGGAGTCAGACGTCGGGGGATCGAAACTCCATGCAGTTGCGCCACTTGGATAATGCTTCGCGGAGAGGTGCAAGTCATGCTGAAAAAATGCATCCCTAGACAGCTGTCGACTCATGGGTGGAACACTTGAAGGAGTTGTGCTACGTGCACTGTGCTCGGGGTGGGGAGGGGGGGGGCAGGAGATGGATGGACAGCTGTCGATTCATGGAGTTGGACATCGGGGGATCGAAACGCCATGCAATTGTCCCACGTGGATTGTGCTTCGTGGAGAGTTGCAAGTCATGCTGAAAGAAAGGATCCATGGACAGCTGTCGGCTCATGGGTGAACACTTCATGGAGTTGTGCCACGTGGAGAGCTGCGTCATCCGTTTCGAACAGCTTGTCGGTCAGCTGAGTGGGAAAGTGGGAAAGAGGAAAGGAACTGCTGGCCATTCATTATGAGGTGCGCATCCATTCGACGAGTGCGTAGTCTGGAACTCGTGGCACTGCAGATGAACAGAGGAGGAGGGAAGTGGCAGATACGATGAATGTTGGACGCTCCCTGCCCTCCACATGTTTTTTTCATCAAAGTCGCCACGTGGATCGTGTCACGTTGATAGTTTCACATGGAGAGTGCCACGTGGACTGTCCCACGTTGATAGTTCCTTGTGCCTGATGCCACATGCATGCAGGGGAGAATCCCATTCGACGTGTGTGTGTGTGTGTGTGTGTGTGTGTGTGTGTGTGTGTGTGTGTGTGTGTGTGTGTGTGCGCGTGTGGGGGTCGGATGCTCCCTGCACATGACTCAGGAAAGAAGCGATTCGTTGATTGTGCCACGTGGATGGAGGGAAGAGAATCAGATTCGATGAATGTTGGATGCTCTCCTCCACATCACGTTGAAGAGCCGATTCGTGGACTTCTGCCGCGTGGATGGTGTGCCACGTGGATGTGCGGACTCGAACACGGGTCGGCTAGAACACGTAGGGTGGAAAATTACGAGGCTCTCCTCCAACGTGTCGTACAGCAGAGCGCCGGATCCGATGGACCATGTCTACGGGGACCGTTGACGTCAATCCAAATTATGGGGAAGACAGGCGGGTTGAAGCTCTTAGCAGTGGAAACTTATGCACGCAGCGATCAACAAGATCGGAGACAGGGAAAAAAATTAAAAAAAAAAGGATTAAACGACTGGAGCGCGTGGATGATGCCACGTGCCGAGGTTTTAGCATGCCGCGTGTGCATTGTATTATTGGGGAGGCGACATCATTTTTAAAAAAAAATTTTTGGGAAGGCGACAGCATTCTATTATTGGGGAGGAGGCTTATTCGGGGGGAAAGTAGATGGCATGCCAGTTGGAGAGGGGTACCAATGTAGATCGTGTTATGGATGGTGGTTCGGGTTTTATGGCTTTTTTATAAACGGTTAGAAAAACCCAGAATTCCAGAGAGAATTGCTCATGCCACCGCTGTCGAGATCAAAATAAACGTATAAAAGGTATGTTTCCGGCCCGATGCAGTCAGAATGAGGGTGCGTTGTGCTCGGGGGAAGACGGTAGTATGATACTGATGTTCATCGCAATAACATCACTTGCTCTGTTATGTTCCACGAACATTACGCACCCTGAAAATGACCGTATACAAGGTATGTTTCCGGCCCCATACATGATGGATGAGGTAGATGCCGCGTCGACAGCTGTAGCAATGTAGATGGGACAGGTGTTGTACCCATACATGATGCATGAGGTAGATGCCACGTGGGAGAGCTGTAGCAATGTAGATGGGACAGGTGTTGTACCCATACATGATGCATGAGGTAGATGCCACGTGGAGAGCTGTAGCAATGTAGATGGGACAGGTGTTGTAAGGTCACAATCCAACTCTTCTTCTAGTAGACGTTGCTGTGCGGCTGTGGGATTGAACTCTCTCGACTCGAAGATGAACACGTGGAGGAGTGGTAGTTCTCTCTCTGGCTACCTGACCTGACCTGACCTGACCTCTTAAGGCAAGTAAGGGCATACTCACCAACGGGCCTAGCTCAGTCGGTACACCCATGAACTGCTGAAATAACAGACTCAAGTTCGACTCCAAATACAGTGAGACTTCCTTCCTCCAATGGGAACAATGTGCGCCCCCCCCCCCCCCAACGAGATTCGCTGCCTAAGCTGAACGAAGAAACGAGTCTTGCGCATGTTACGTTGCTCCTGATGGCAGCCAGAGTAAGCTAAATGCAGAGATGACGGGGATTCGATTATGGTTCCGCTTTTCCAACCGGACGTTTAGCTGCATATTATCGAAGGGAAAAAAAAGAAAAAAAAGAACCACCGGCGCAAGTTCGTTCGACACTTCTTGACTTGAGAGCAGGGATTCGAACCCCCGACGTGAGAAATGCGATTCTGTTGTTTCGGCCAACCTTTAAGTTGCATCTTCTCCGATATTCCAAGCTCGTTTAAATCGGTCTGCGAATCACAGAGCGACACGTGGAGGTGAGGGGGAGAAAAAAATAAAGAAGGAACGGCGCAAGTTCGTTCGACACTTCTTGACTTGCAGAGCAGGGATTCGAACCCCCGACGTGAGAGATGCGATTCCGTTGTTTCGGCATCTTCTCCGATATTCCGAGCTCTTTTGAATCGGTCTGCGAATCACAGAGCGACACGTGGATGTGAGGTGCTGCCCTCCTCGACAGAGGAACTTGAGGGCAAGGAAAAGGTATGTAATGCAGTCGATAACGGGGGCGATTGAACAGCTGTCCTCCAGAAAGTGTACAAAGAAATGGAAGAAGAAAGAGAAAGGCCTCGTTGACATTCCTATAGATGGTACGATGACCCTCAGATCGACGATCGTTGAGTAGGGGAGGAGGAGGTGGGTTGGTTTTGTCGAAATCAGACAGTCGTTATGACAACAAGAGTCGTGTATCGACTCCAGAGGAGAGGGAGAGGAGTACTATCTCCTGTAATTGTGAGCTGTGCAGTCATCTTTGCAGGTCGATAGCGAGAGGAGAGAAAGGATGGGTGTGGGGGTGGGATCTCTCTCTCTCTCTCTCTCTCTCTCTTTCTCTCCCCTTCCAGCCCCCCCCCCTCTTTGCCAGCCA